TTTTACTTTTTTCATTTCTCTCACTAGTTAACAATTATTCATGCTTTAGGAGTGGTTGTCATTTCTGGAGAAATTCAAATCCCATTCCAAACATCTGAAGATAAGACTGAGTGATGCTGTAGACTCCAAATGAAATATATCTAAAAAGTGACAAGGTAATTTTTTTTCCTTCCTATAACTTGTAAACTTACTGAAAAGCCCAGGCTGGGATGGGGAACCTTCAGCCTTAAGGAAATATGTGGCTGGCCTTCCTGGTCCTTAAGTGCTGCCTTTTAAGTGAACCCAAAATTTACATAGCAAATCCTTTTGTTAAAAGGTTTGCAGCAGAGAAAGATGCTTTTCTTGCCTCCTTCTGTGCTTAAAAAAGACTGATCTTGAAATCAAAAGGCTGCGGGTTCCCCACTCCTTTGGTTATACTTACTGTCGGAGTTAGGATGACCACCAAGTGGTCACATTATAGGTGATTTTTATTTTTTTATTTGTATACCCTGGGATTTCCTAGTTTTTTTCATAATTACCATATATTACTTTTGTAACAGGGAGAAATCAATTCAAGAAATAATGTAACAATGTTTTTCACAGTATGTCTGATTCTTCCTGTCCCGTCCTCCTCTCCTTCATCTTCCAAGAGATGGGGACCTATCATCCTGAGAGCTCCTATTACACACAACAATAGAAGAATGGCTTAATAATGGAGGATACATTTTCTCATTCAGCTGTTGCCCAGCCATTAATACAATCACTTTGAATACTGTGCAAAAACTTGGAAGCTTGCATGTTTAAAACAAATGCTAACAGAAAAGTTCCCATATAATATAGTAGCTACTTACTGGTTGCAGTAATATAGAAACATATGCATGTGACTAAATGTCTTCCAAGGTAATAGCCAAAATTTAAAATATTGTAGTATGATGGATGGATGATTGGTGGTTTTCTGTTATCAAAATTGTCTTGAATATTTTTATGTTGTCTTCTTTTGAATATTTTCAGTGCAAAAGGGATGTATCTGTGTTTATTATACTTATTTCAATTATTCAAATGAAGCTTTTTTGTCATTTCAAAAAAGCACAGTGACTGATAACCTGGTATTAAATAAGAAAATACACATGTGATGATTACTTTTTTTTTGCAGCAATCGTAATTAGTTAATGAAATATATGTTGTGAAATCTTTCATTTCAATTTCTCTGAAGTACAACATTTTCTTTCAGTATATCTGGACAGAGAAGGAGTGTTTATGGAGTATTTCATATTTCTCACTACTTGAAAAATGAATGAAATGATTGAAAAATGAAGATGCAAGGTTTTTGCCTAATATTTTTTTCACTTTGAGGACTTTACTCTAAATAAGACACCTGAAAACATAGAGGGAAACATGACTGTCTTTGAAAAGATCAAAACCCAAATCAAATTATGATTTGTTTTCAATATTATCAGAAGTGTGGTTTAATTACAAAGAAAAAAAGACAATGGTTTATGATTTCCATTTTCCAAGTTATCACTAGCTTTTCTCCTCCCTTTGTGGTCTTAGAAGAGTGCAGTTTTTTGACTTTTATTTTTCTCTACTGAGACTGCAAATAACTAGAAATGGATGTCCTTTTAATAGAATTTACTATTTGGAAAGACTCATATAGTAATGCTTCTATTAACAAGAAAGATATGTGCCAGCCCCACATTTTGTTGCCAGAAATCTCATTACTCAAGGTAGAGATAATATCTGGCATGAGAGAATGAATGAAGAGTATGAATTCTCTCCCTGTAGGGTCCCTGCAAACCATTCACTACTTCTCGCCTAACTCCAGCAGCAGAGACCCACCAGAGACCTCTTTTCCACTAGGTGCTCCACCTCCAACCCAACTGCAATTGATGTTTTCTTTACCCATTCATTTATTCCCCCACTCACTTAACAAACATATATTGAGCACCTATTACATGCCTTGTTGTCAGAAGGACCCAAGTTTCCTACACTCTTACTCTACCTACAGTTCCAGCAGCTTTTTTTATCTTTAGGAATTAACCACCCCATATGAAGAATTTTATAGTTTGTAGGACTGCCTTTAAGAAAAAGAGTATCAAAAAATTGAAAAACAAAATTGGGTAACAACATGAAAATTGACCCAGAAATCACAACAAAGCATGGGGTTTTGAAAGCTGACACACCACTAATACTAGAGAATCCATAAAAATAACATAATATTTCTGTTAGTTAACTACTTGATGCATATCTACAAATTTTCTTGCATTTTAGAAATTTCCAGAGACAAAATAGTTTCAATGTTTCCTCTAGCATCATTGACCCAAATTTGGTTTTATTATTGATAATTTAGAAAAGATTCTTTAAGTATTAAAATTTTTAATTATTCACTTAATATAGATTTTTATGAAAATAAATATTAAGTTTCTTTCATACATGATGTGTATGATTTAGAAAACTTGTCCACAGACCAGCTTCTGTTTCTATAGGTTTTCAACCCTGTTTATTTTCCATAGAGTTCCAATATGGTCACCATGGGACACATTCATACAAGGATGTAACCTGTGGGACTGCATTTTCATGTTATGGTGCTAGGCGAAATGGCACAGAGTCAGAGAAACGTTAAGAAAGCAGAAAAAATTCTAAATTGTGATCACAGCCAGTGCCTGGTGAATAGCAGAAAAATAATGGAGGGATTACTCTTCCAGTATTTGCAAACTATCATTGAATTGAGGAAGCTGCTCATGTTATTATAAACGATTGAAGGCCCAATGTATGGCTTCATTGATTCACTCTCTTCCTGCTCATTAACATAAAGGGAAACATTTGCCCACATGCTTGTCAGAACTATACTTGTTTAATTGCAATAACAGATTGGCTACAGTATACATATAAGAACCTGAAACAAAAATTAGCAAGAGCAATGTGTGGCTATAAGGAATTTGGCTATAAGGAATTTACAATATAGAACAGTGTTTGTTTTAGCAATATTTGTAAACTGTGCTTACAGAATCTTTTTATCAATAAATATTTACCAAGGACCCCACCCAAATAAAAGAAATGGCACAATGAGTGGTAGAGAATTTCTGGAAGCACTTCCTACCACTGACATGTAGCAATAACACAATTATATCCCTAGATGACAAAAACATCACAAATATATTCTATTAAATCCCAGCTAAAGGTATTCCCTCCTCAACTTCCTTTCAATCTGATCCCCAGAACACCAACAGCCACTCAGGCACCATTCTACAAGAGGGGAAGTGTCACAGAAAAGTCAAAATGGAAAGAGACGGTCTTCTGAACTTTTTACAAAACCAAGACCACATGAACACATTGCCAAGTCCCAGGACCTTGGGAGGGGTTGTGGAAATGATGGGCCCTAAAACTTCAGGCTCATTGCTTTGCGGTAAATATGCCACAACATGTTGTATAACTTTGAGAAAGCCATTTCATTCTTCTCTTCCAACCAGTCACTTGGAAAAAGTTAAATACTACAAATTTACTCATTCATTAATTTAACAAATATGTGTTGAATGTGTGCCAAGCCTTGTGCTAGGTACTAGCTTCTGGGCACTAGGTACTAGGGATAAACCTATGAACAACATTGTCTTATTTTTTTTTTTTTTTGAGACAGAGCCTCAAGCTGTCCCCCTGGTTAGAGTGCCATGGCATCACAGCTCACAGCAACCTTCAAT